CCCCACCCCACCCATTGCATAAGAAAACCGACGATCTCTCGCTTTCCTCTTTCTGTCACACTCAATCACTTTCATTGTCATCTCTGAGAAATCTAGCTCAATACGTGCTGGAAGGAGGTAAATGGTGTTTGGCAGTGGATAGCCTATAATGTTACCTCAGTTAGCTGAATGTAGACACACACTCACTCTCATAAAAAGGTCATAAAGCCCAAAGCTATGTTATTAAATCTCATAATGTTGCACTTGTAAATCAGTGTGCAAACAGCTGGTTCAGTCATACAGATGCAGGAATAAAAAAAAAACTAAGGCAGTGTAGCCGGAGTGACTGGCAGTATATATTTGGACAGAAATAGAATTATATATACGCACACACACACACGTTTCTTTTTCTGCATTTTACTGCATCATGTCTCAGTGTGCTTCCAGAAACATCATAAAAAATGTTTGTATGAATAGCTTCTGGAGCCTCAAGAGGACAACCAACAAGTCTGTTTGGGTCAAACCATACACCCACATCTATGTGTGTATTTCTTCCATTGAATTCACGTGGAGGAGCTACCTGTGCAATGCCTGTATGATGAGGACAGCCATACCTTCCCTCTATACATACACTACGGGCAGTGGGCAACACTACTAATTCTTTAATGTTTGCCATGTACTGCTGAGAAATAAATGCAAACAGGCCCTTTGTCAATAACAGTAGCCTGTGTATATGCATGTATGTGTGTGTGTGTGACTAGAAAAGGTGAGCACAGTCTGCAAACTTTTATAAAATAATTTCCAATTTGTACAATTAGCCTTTGTAATTTTAAAACTGTGTTGTTCGTGATTGTTGCTGTATAGTTAACTGGAGTGTTTGGCTATGCAACATTCTTATAGCCTTGATTAAATCTGGCTGTTTATGAGCAGGAAACACTGGATTTTATAAATTTGTAAAATCGATTGCATAGCATGAGCAACTACTGTGGTTTTTATTACCCTTTTAGGGGCCACAGTGTTTAAAAGGGCACTAATGGGATGCAATGCATGATTATTTGTCAATTAAAATAATGTTAAGCCTCTGAAAAATAGGCTGAATTTAACCAGCCTGCATTAAGTTATACAGAGTACTTAAAATGACACAGAGAATTAGCCAAGGCAATTATTTAATTAGTGCTCTGGTTTTGGAGGGTGCTGAATTATTATCTTAGATTTTACACTTTAAATACATTATTAAGTGACTTAATAAAAATATAGATATAAAACAAGTACAAGGGCACCAAATTGTTCTATTTTCTAATAGATTTATACAAGGGATATATCTTATAAATGTAAGAACAAGCCAGAAATTAGCAGAAAAACTTTACCGGGTCTCTAGTTGCAGAATAAGCTTTAGATTGAAGAGTATCCTCAGTCATTAGTTCATCAGTGAATAATGTAATGGAACTCTGCACTGAAGCTGCTATGGGTTGAATAACGGTTTAGTAACCAGCCTTTTGTAATCAATATGTGTGCAATATGACACACAAACACATTTACACTGTAAGTGGACAATGGAGCTCAGCTTGGAAATACTTAACAATTGTGTGTAAGCGTGGATGCCCTCACATACACACTTACACACAATGCTTAACTGACACCCTGACTAAGCCTAGGCTTTCCTAATGACAAAGGAGAGGACATGGTGCGAGGCTAATGGTGCAAACCAGTACCATGCAGGCAAGAGTACTGTTGAATACTGAAGCATTGTCCTTTAAATAGCTGCAGAGTAAAATAAGAATAGAAAGTCTTTAAGGAAACACTGGAGCGTGAAAGTAAAAAAAAATCCCTGTTCTTACCCTACCAATAAAGTGTTGTAAATCAACTTCTTAAATCACTAAACTGATTAGATGGATTTCTTTCTGCTTTTGTGACGAGAACATTAAATAAAGCATATTGAAATCATTATTCCAACTTTCTTTTCTAAAGCATAAGCTACGTCTTTCAACACAGATTAATTTTCATTTTAAAGTGCACTAACAACTATTATTGGCCAGTCGAGGGACCTGTGGTTACAATATGTCACATCTCATTTATTTTGAAAGCTTAGTTTAAATTTCATACTCCTATCAAAGCTTTTCCAAACAGTAAAAAAAAAAAATAGAGCCTGGTAATAATACATCTTGTTGTGCCTTGGATCACACTTTTCACAGAGCCGCTCTGCCAGTTTCTAATTATCTTCTCAGAGGTCTGGAGAGAGAAAAAGAATCTGTAGTGGCAGCAGATTCCCTGAACAGATAATACTGGAGTTTTACCTGCTCTTTAACTTCTATAGGAGGTCTGTAGGGCAAAAAGTAACTGTTCAACAACAGTAAAATATGGCGTTCACATAATCTATAGTGACCCGCATGGTAAGGCCTGTTTCTTTGCATGCAGGGACAGATTCTCACAACATGTCTTGTTAAAGAAGCCCTCATAGCCCATGCTCAGTGTGTGTTTATGCTGTGGTTTCTTGGCATACAGCATCTGAAGTAGGATGCAGACAATTATTAAGTGGTTGAACCCGTGTAGCAGTGCCACTTTATAGCCAAGTACAATTTTCTGGCTTTGAAACCAGTCGAAGGCTGGCTGACCGCAGCACACATATAAACTAACAGATACACACACACACACACACACACACACACACACACACACACACACACACACAGAAAAGAAACCCAAGGGGGAGAGAAATGT